ATCGGAACCGTCGACATCACCATCCGAGGGGTCGTTGGTTCAGGACGTATAACAACTACGGCCAGAATAATCTTGGTTACGCGCGTTCGCAGGAATATGATGGTTATGATAATAATAACTATGGTAACAATGGCGGCGGCTATCAGGGCGGTAGTTATCAAGGTGGATATGACGGAGATAATGGCTATTATAATAATCGCAATCGTAATAACAGGGAAAGGGTTAAGATTAACGTAAAGGTGTATAACAATGCTGACGATGAATTGGCCCAAAGAAATAATAATGAATGATAATTTATGATTTTACATACTACATTTGTGTTGTATTTTATATGTTTTAACTCATTTGTTGATATTTATTGTTCAAATACATTTTTAACATAACTTTTTATTTAAAAACATCGTGATACATCGTGACTCATTAAAATATTTACTTATAAATATCTTTGTTTAAATGTTTATAATTTTAGTGCATAATAAAATAAAATATACATTTATTAATTGATAAAGTTTATAATAAATTAAAAATTTTGTAATTTGTATAATAAATGTAATTACTTTAAAATGAAACTTTATTATAGTTCTATAGTAAAATTATTATAGTAAAAGTTCATTATATTATAGTCTCAATTATTTAGATTTAATGGACATTCATTTGATTAAATGTAAGAATTGAATAATTAAATGTTAATAATGTATACAGTAGATTTACAATATATTTAAAAGTACATGTAAAGATATTAATGCAATTAATAGTACAAATAGTATATATTTCAACAAACAATTGACAACAAATGAGAGAAGATTTTAATTAAATCGTTGGCTAGAGTTCTACGAATTCATGGATGGCTTCACAATACAATTGAAATGCATTTCTTAATTAGTTTTCATATATAATGAACGAATAGTTTGTTGTTTTGTTCACCAAATGAATGCAATCTAAATAATAGATGAACTGAACAAATGTTTTACCAAATTATTGAACCCTTTTATTGTTGTTTTTAATAATTTAAACACAAAAACAAATTTAAATTAGAAATTCATATAAAAACTATTGACTTCAAAGACTTACGAACAGGTATTTGAAAAACTATAGCCAAACAAACGTCGAAACATGCGTTTAATTATTTTATTTTTACTAATTTTGGTTAAAATAATTGAGTCTAAAAGTAAGAATAAAAACGAGGGCCGAGAATATGAAATAATTGGTAAATGATTTTATTATTGGCATTATTTGATTGAAAACATGTAATAGTTATTTGATAACATAATTTTTGATTGCAGATCCAAAGGCAAAGCAAAACAATAGACATCCGGTAATCAATAAACAAAGACCGGGTCGTCGACGACCAACAGCTCAACGATTACAACCAACTCATGAAAGCGAAGACCAACACTACCCTCAAGAACCGGGCGAATCAAATGTACATTTTGACAACAGATATGGTGGTCATAACAATAGACCAGACATTAGACCAGATATGAGACCTGATATGAGACCAGATATGAGACCAGATATGAGACCAGATATGAGACCAGATATGAGACCAGATCTGAGACCACAGGAAAGACGGTTTACAAAAAATAATGTCAACACTAATATCAACACTAATAATATAAATCTAAACATTCATGTTAACAATAATAAGAAAGGTTATGGACAACACAACGGACACAGAATATTCTCTACACATCCATCATATGAGCAATAATAATATTATGTAAAACTATATTAGCAACCAATTACTATTAATTCTCGTAATTTTAATTAATTTTAATGATTATTTAAATTATATGCAATCACTTTAATAGCAATTATTCGGGGAAAATATAAATTAGTATAATATTCCATGTATAATATAAATGTAGTTTCAATTGCAAATTACCTTGAAAGAAGGCTTAATTACCTGTTTCGTCAAATTATTTATTCAATCATTAAATGAATTTCATAATAATATGGCTATTGATTAGCGTTTCAATAAAATTGTGAAACACATGCAATATCTTAATAAACATACAAATGATAACTATATATACCGTTTGTATTTATTATATAATTTTAAGTTAGTTTTTTGTTCACAAAGTATTATATAAAAAACTGAAATTACTTTTTGTTAATATTAACCTTACAACAATGTTACCAATCTCTATATTAGTTTTTACAATACTTATAATTAGTGTATTGATTGAAAATGTATCAAGTAAATCACTGCCCCTCTACCCAATAAGTAAGTATTAAAAAAATAATATTTTACAATGTAAAGATTTTTAATGCAAAAATATGACTAATGATAGAAAGGCCAGTCGACAGACGGACAACACAGCGACCACCGATATATTATCAACCCATTCAACCCCAGCTCAACAATAATGCTCAACACACACAAAGCAATACCATTAATATCAATATAAATGTGATTCAACATCAAAGGCCCAGATCTAATGTTGTTCACCACCAACCGGGCCATCACTATCATCAGCAACAATATAGACAACCTGAACCAACTATACAGTCACTGGTTTATCGCAGAAAAAAGATACGGGGTTAGAAAAGTGAACTCAAATGATTCTAGCACTTTATATTAATTTATGAACTTGTTCATTTAATTAGTTAAAATTGCAACTTAAAATGTGATTCTAGAATAATTTATTATTTATTTTTTTTGACATATATTTATTATTGTAAATAAAACAAATTTTATATAAAATGTTGCAAGTTAATCATGTATGTTAAGTTAACTATTTATTTAATAATACTCTATAATTTAGATGTAATGGTCGGTCGCTATAATTATGTAAATATCTATTTTAATACATAAATAAAATAAAAATTAAAAATACGGTAATTACTATTTGTATAATTATAACTAAATAAATAAATTATAAATGATAGTATTTAAATAATTAATTATTTATCTATATTTCAAAATTTATGTTTATTTCATAGAAATATTTCGAAATCATTTATAATTAAATGAATTGAATAAATGTACACAATATTAAAACGATTATCTAAAAAATCAAAATATGTTTTGCATGTTTAAATCAAGTTTTATTTAGGTGTATAAATAGTTTATAAATCACGGCAAGTAATGTTATTTAATGTAATTGTAAATTTTATTCTATAACTTTAATTTAGATAATACTGTAATAAACTCAATAATGTAATTATTGTTCAGTTATAATATAAAATTATAATTATTATAAAATATAAAATATATTGTTATTGAAAATACAAAGTTAAAACTAATGTCTGCATTAAAGTCTACAATTAGAAAAAACTTATTTATCTTAAGATTGAAGTCATTAATCATTAATTAAGCCACTGTTAATACCCTGGCGTTTAAATTCATGATTACATATTAACAATGTAATAAACGATGGAATCAACAGAATTGAAAGAATTGGTAGAATATATTTAATTGGAAATTGTAATGTCAATACTTAACAGGTATTTAAGATATTACTGTATATAAATATCATTATTGCATATCATTTATAGTTAATTTCAAAATACAACAACTTATAGACTATCGAAGCAAAAAACGATGATTTATGATGATAATGATTGATGATATAACTGATGATTGTAATAATGGCAAGAATAGCGTGCTTGGTCATTTTAATAAAACTCGCATTGTATGTTCTTATAGACAAGGTTTGTATGCATTGCATTTATAATATACAATAATTTATACTGTATTGTATATTGTGTTAAAGAAATTGATACGATGTCATTTAAATGTGCAGTAACCAAATAATGAGAGAGGTAGATTCTTTTAATTTAGTGAATTTAATTGTTTAAATTAAGAAATTGTGCAAAATTATGTGTAAAATTAGTTTTAATATTTTCAATAGCTTTTGCAATAACTCACTCATTTAATAACAATATTTAATAAATAATTTATTTATTTAAAATAATTGTAATAGCATTTGTGATTATTGTTTAAAAGTTATCATAATACAACAAAAATAATGCCTAGATAAAAACTTATTTTAATAAAAGATGGACTCTAATGCGAGGGATTTAATTTGTTTTAAATGTATTGTCATTAATGTTGCTTTTACTAGAATAATGTGTTATCTATGTTTATGAAATACCATTATAAAACATCATTAAAACTTATTGTTTCGCCAAAAATGTACTAAATTGTTTAATTTTTGTTACGTATTTACATTTTCACATTTAAATTAAAAATTACAATCAAACAGTGTATTCACAAACAACATTAATAACTACAAAACATTAATGTAAAATTTAAATACACCAATTTACTTTATATAAGCAGCTGTAGAGCAATTAGTTTGTAAAGTACATCCATTTGTAGCATAATTTTGTTGAATAAAAGTACTTAAAATATTGATACAAAAAGTTTTAAATTCAATATTTAATTTCATATCTTTTATTCTAGATAAAAATTCTAATTAAAAGTAGTTATTACATGTACTTATTATATAAATAATATGTTCTTATTTTTGTCATTTAATTTCAAATCTAATAAACATATAAATAGATTGAATGGTTTATTAATTAATACATTAATAATAGAAACGTTTATCAATTGATTGTTGAGAAACATGTTTCCCAAACTGTTTATTAATATATAACCGCATTAATACTGACTGTTATAGTGAGTGATTGTATTGAATGTAAATCATTAAGTCTTCAAGCTAGTAAGAAATCATTAAATACTCTCTAATAATTATCTAATAATTAAAAATAACTTTTGATATTAAAAACCAATTATTAGGTACCCATGCTACAACCCACACCACCACTACTACCACAACGCAAGCATCCCGTGATATTAATGTTAATGTCAATGTAAAGAAAACTATCCAGGTTCAACCAGGTCGCTGACATGTTGAGATGGCAGTTTATGCAATTTTGTTTGCATAAATTAAACATGGCAAATATATATTTTTGTGCGTGTACAATTTGTATTTACATGCCTTTAATTGTTATTTATAAAAGTTGATTAAATAAATAATTATATTTTAACATTATATTTTTAAAAGTTTGAACATCGAGTAAACATGTTTATTATAATTTCAAAATAACAAAGTATATTTTCATAGCCAATATATTATAATAAACACCAATAGTAAACACGAATAGTAAACACCAATAGTATCCCAGATATATTACAGGTATCCCAATATCTATATTTTAAAATTATAAATCAATTTGATTTAATCCATTATAATCCCACATCTTTTATAATTTCTCAATTTATGAAACACCCACAAATAGAAATAAAATATAGACTATTAGTACTCTGTATTCACTATTTTTAACAATTGTAAGTACTGTTAATCTACTGAACTATTTAAAATATAATAGTTAAAAGTATCATTATTTAGATGAGTGTGTACACTGTACAAGGCACAAATTGATCTAATATTAATTAAACCCATTACAATAACAATTAGAAAACATAACTATTATGCAATAAATGTCATTATTATTTATTTTGAGAGCAGATTTCAATTGATGAACCAAATTTGTCAATAGGATTATGTATTAATGAGAAAGTTTTTTGACATAATGATGTTTCAATGCGTACAGAATAATGTTTTAATTAATACAACTCGTGTAAAGTACTTATAAACTCAAAAATATATATTTTTTTTATTCATTATATGAAATAGTACTTTGAATAAGTGTTGAATTCTGAGTGAAACCAAATAATTAAATTCAATTATAAAATGAAGATAAATTTTGCAATAATTTTAATTCACGTATTACTGGTGTTATGTCTCAACGTCTATATCAGTGAACAACAGGGCGGCGAACCCGGCACTGGAGACACAGGAGGAACTGGAGGGGGTAATACTGGAGGAGGTGTAGGAGGTGGGCAAAATGGTGGCGGTAATAAATCTAGTGATATATTAATCAAATATTTAAAATATACTGTATAATAATTACAAATAATTTGTTTGCAAAAAGGTGGCCGATTTATCAAGGTGAAGCACCATAATGTAAAAACTGGGCGCACAAACGTGATCAGATTTCCGTCGGGCACCGGGAGTGGGGGCAGAAGTGGTGGTAAAAGTTTGTCATTACGTCGTGACCCAAACGCCGCTCAAAAAGTGAGGCAACAAAACCGACGGAGGAATAGAGGAGGCAATGGTAGTAGTGGTGGCAGTAGTGGCGGCACAGCTGGTGGTGGCGGTAGTGATGATGGAGAGACTTCTAAATAACCATATTTTGTTTAAGAACATATCCATTGCTTTACCATTGAGTGTTGAACATAACATAATTTCCCCAAAGAGTTACTTTTAATACATAAATAATTTGTTGTATAAATTAATGATAAAATTTGTTTTCCTTTAATCGCTTTAAGTCTCAATGCATTGACTTATTTAATATTCATTACGTAATTATAAAAACCATCATTAATTAGGAGTTTTGTTTGCGAGTAGTAATGAATCTTGATTCAAAAGGAAATGAGATTGTGTTTTTGTTTTATTTATTGTATGTAATCGTAATGTAATTAATTTATAAATAACTGATTTCTATTGAAATCTTGTTAATGAGAGTGAAGTTTGAATATATCGACACTTTATTTCCGACAAAAATGTATTTGTTTTGATAGCAAATGATTTGAATCTATAATTTGTTGTCAATTCATTCAATCGATAAACTTATTTTGAAATCATTTATCACTGAAAAAGTAATGTTTAGCAAAATTGTAAAATAAATCTATTTTTTCCACCGAATAACTCAAATCGGTATTTGTTTTATTGGTTTAAACATGTTTTTCTATATAAACGCTTTGACTATTGAGAAAACTGATGAAAATTTATATATTTTTATAAATTTAAAGTTAAAAACACATCAAATAGTTTTTGTCATATAAATGACGAATAATACACTTTAAGGATTGCAAAAACCGTGTCTAAACATACGGTTCGGCTCAGTATAGACTCATATTTATGAAGAAAGTGATAACCGAAAGACAAATCAAAAATGAGAAAAGTGTACCAG